GGAAATTGGATAATAAGCCACGTAGACCTCGCTAGCTCTCTCTACAGTCATGAATGCATTATGCGACAAGTGGTATTGAGGCGATGTTTACAGTCTAATGATTAGATGATCACCCATACTTTCTTCTGGAGGGCTTGTGTGGTAGCCAACGCTAACCTAATAATGCATTGTTAAAAAAATCAGCGGAGTTCAATAAACGGAAACTGTTGATTGGTTTTGCGGAAGCAAAAATACATAGGGCCGGTTTCTCCAACTCAACTGCACTTAGTTTAGCAATTTTTTGGACTTAGTCAAGAATAAGCTGATTAAAAAGTAGGCTAACTTTTGGCTTGGCCTAGATGGAGAAACGAGTAAGTCCAAAAAATGGCTAAACTAAGTTAAGTTGAGTTGGAGAAACCAGCCGATAGTATCCAAAAGTGGCAATCACCAGCGCTATCACTTTGGGGTGTAGGACTGTATAGGTTAATCTCAATAGGTAAACTGAATGTTTCTAGGTTATAGGCATAAAGGAATAAACAAAATCGGGACTATCGACCAAGAGAAATGTGGCTAGGCACTAAATTTGTTCAGTGATAAATATTTATTCTGATAGCCAAGTTGCAATCATCCCACTAAGGTCATTGTTTGAGCAATCTTAATAGGTCAGTAAGTTTAAAAGTGGATATGACTCAAAGCGACATTGCATGGCTAACGAATAGGCAAAGAGAAAGCGTGCTTAATGTCAGTCGTGCTTAATGTCAGTCGTGCTTAGAGAGCTGGAATACGGATTCTACATTTGGCTAGCAATCCACTCTAAGCAGCCCAACGAGGTATCTATGGCTTCCAAAGGGGGAGGTCTTGATCCTGAAAAGTATCTTGAGTCATGTATCTCTCTTCACTACTCCTGAATACTTTGAAAACATTGCGTTTGGTTCAAAACGACTTTGCATAAAACTGCATGGCCAATGAAGTGACAACTTAGAACACCCTCGATATCGTTTCTCCATAGACCATGTGTTAGGAGTTCCTTTGACAGTGTTTAAGCTACTCTAGGCTTCTAATCTACTTAGCGTTGACCAAGAAGAAATACATGCGAAGTCACAAATTCGTGAGGCATTCCTGGCTAGCTATTGACCTTAGGTGGCCATAGGAGCGTCTTAGGCATCCGTTAGGAAATCGTTTCAGACCTTTATTGGTACATATATTTTAAGGAGCTTGATGATCGCTTTTAACTATCCTAACTTCATTTGATCAGGATTTAAATATCTCTGTAGACATCTTATGGGAACAGAAATATCTGAGAACCTGCCTAAGGTAGACACCAACCGCCTGTCAACCGATACAACAGAATACTTCAAAGTTCATCTCTCCTTCTCTGACTTCATAAAGTAATGGGGATATCAATAGCATCTCCAACATATACTACATTCGAGAAAAAAACCAATCCTAAATTTTACAGTAAACCAATTTACGCACAATTGAAGATGATCCAATAAAAGGAGTATTTCCGACACACAATCGGATAAGTGGCGCTCGCGGTTATATCACCTCATATAAACAAATGCGAAAAAGATCAAATGCAATTTTTGATTTATATACGCCGCACGCAACTCATTCGGCCGCCTCCGCCTCCCTCACGTATTAGAATAAGCTGCACGCCAACGTGTTTGCCAGCATTTGTGGCTTAAGCTAATGGCAGGCAGTTGGCATCCTTGTCTGCCCGCGTGCATTTGACAGTTCTGAGTTGCTATACTACTCCTTCAGTCGATACAAATGCGAAATTATTTCAAGTGTATTTGCAACGTAAATGATTTATTTGCATTCTCAATGGCAGCAAGAACAGCAACAACAGTGGCAGAAATATTTCAACTCCTTTCCCATATTTCCTGTAGATATCCTTTTGCGAGTAGTCGGTATGCTGCATGGCGCCTTGCGATTGTGTCCTGTCGTAAGAAGCTTTCGTATGCGCGCGCGTATGCATGACAAATTGTTGTGGCAGCTTTGTCGATAAGTTCCCCACCTCCATTTTGCATCGCTTATTTCTTATTTTTGCTTTAAATCCTTATGATGCCCATGTGTGTCCTTATATGTGTCTTACTCCTTTACCGATTTTTTTCTTGCACATATTTCTATTTTTTATCCTCTTTCGCTTATGTGTCTTTAATAATCTCCGCAAATATTTTGCATTCCACTTGATCGCTAAATAACACCCTCGGTTGTATGGAAAGTCATTTGTGTTTAGAAAGAGGAAGTCCATATTATGCTTTCACATCATTTGACGTTGAGTACCTGATTTATGACTTCTGCTTGTAAATATCCTTTCATACCTACCCACATGTCACCAGATATACATTAGGAGGCGCTTCACATGAAGGTGCGCTCTCCCCGTTCTTACGGAACCCCACGATGAACAGTTTTCTACTACGCTTACAGGCCACGGGCTGTCAATCCATAGCGTACGCGGATGACCTACTTAGGCCCTTAGGCTTTGCACGAACTTATACAAAATTCCTTAAAAGTTGTGGTAATTTAAAAACAAACTACCCCGATTCCGATTTCCTTCGCTGAATGTCGTCACATTGACTCTGGCGGATGCAATTAGATACCTGGGCATGTTCTTAGGTAGTAAGCTTTTTTGGATACGGAACACCGAGTAAAAAACCAAAGAAACCATAACTATCCCATATTCCTCTAAATCTACTTTTAAAAATAAAAAAATGGGACATTAAGCCACGGTGAGTGCACTGCAGAGAGCGGTGCAAATGTTTAAAACTGAACCTTCACGCCAGCTAAAGCTTTAGAAATCGCACGAAATTTTTTCGCTACGGAGCTTTATGGTAAACTACAGGCGAGCAGTAGAGCAATCAGGGTAAATACTTTCCATATGCACAATTTCGGTGCCCCACATTGGATAAATGGAAGGCCACGACATTGAACCATTACAAAATTGTAGACACCTGCGTAACAAATTTAAAGTAGCCGAACTATAAAGTTTCCACTTTCGCCTTTTAAAATCACTTTACCACAAGAATTGCGTACCTCGAGAAGCCAATGGAAAAAAGTTCCGTTCTGTAAACATACTCTCACTCTCCTAAAATATATAGTGGCGCGTACAAATTAAACCGAAGAGTAGTCGAAGTAGTGGCGTTTACTCGAAAGAGCTATCTTTAAAATTTGGTAATCGACTGCCAGATCATTACGGCTCGATGGATGATCTCCTCAGATTCGGTATACCACTGGCAACGCGCAACGAACTTCTTCTAATTGACCGACCTATGCCCGACTTATGCTGCGGTGTCTACCCTATTACTTTTTCGATTGTACGTCTGACTTAAGCACGGCGAAAATTTGCAAACTATAATGCTTCCTAATGGTCCTATTTCTAGCTAAATGGTCTGAATCAACCCTGAGCCACTACACTACTACATAAATGGTATAACAATAGGCCTCATTACGAATCTTCACAAAAAACAGCTGAAATGGTCACTAAAAGTAAAAACAAAAAAATAATAATTCTAAGAGACCTGCACAAAATCCGTAAAGTCTCCGAATTTCGAAAAAAAATTCCATAAAAGCATAAGAAAATCCCTAAATTTATAGAAAAATAAAATACGAAGCATTCCGAAAAGTTCTGAAAAATCCCAAAAAATAAAAAACTTAAGTCCCGAAAAGTTCCGAAAAAGTTTCTGTCAGTACCGTAAAAGCACCAGAAAATCTTGAAAATGTCCGATAAAAGACGTATCTTGTTGAAGAATGTTGGTTGCAATAATATTGAACATATTACATTTTTCCCGAAAGCTGTTCAGGTCTCGTGAAGGTAAGATTCTGATATGTCGCTTAGATTGGCCTCACAAATATATATTATTGATTCTGTTAGGACAACTGGATCGGCTTTTTATAGAGATACAAAACTGTGTCAGCGCTACAAATTGCATATGTAATATTTATGATGTTATAACTAAGTGGCATCTTTGTTCCGATATATTTTAAATTGAGTTATTGAGGCTACACTATCTGCGACCACGTTGCATTCAAGTCAGTTGAAGAATAAACGTAGAGACGAGTACAAGCAGTTATCGTTTGCGAGTTTTATTGTTTAAAATACTTTTAATTGTTTATTTACTTAATTCGTAACAATTCGATGGCGAGTTTGGTTTCTTAAACTATACTCTATATATACTCTATATCTATCTCTATATCTATACTCTCTTTTATGAAATATATGCTATTGTAAACGCTTTCCTTTTATAGTTTTTAAATTTCATTTATTGCTGAAATTCATTCAACTCCACTTCCTCCGTCAAATAAACTCTCCTGCTAACTTCCAGCATACCCGACTTTCGTCCCTCACCAAATTTATGCGGCATTGCAAAGCGCAACTTATTCCAAAATCTCGTATCGTTCCATTCCAAATAGGTGTTTAGTTTCAAGTAGGCCTGCAACTCGTTATCTAGCTGCTGCAAATTCGTAAGCTCCCCATACTTGATAATGATTATGCGCGCACGACCCTCATTCAGTGCACACTGATGCGCCGTACGAAATTCCATGCGTGCCCAATCCGATTCGACGAATGCTGCGACAACACAATAATCGTGCGACGCGACTGCTCGACCGACCTATTATCTGCTCGGGTATAAAAGCACCAGCGAGCCAATTGCGTTCGTGTGTGCAAATACGAAATAGGCGAACGACCCTGTTCCAGACCCGGCAGCAGTGTATCGTTGACGTAGTGTTGATCTTGGTGGGCGTAAGAAATGAAGGCATCGAATGTTTTGTCTTTGTCTAGCTCGTGTTCACTGATGCAACACAGAAACATGTCGTGTCCGAAGAGCCAAATTTTCACCTCCAGTTTGTATTTGTAGAAGAGTGCGATCAGTGAGAGCACCACGACTGCTGTGGAAAAGATGGCAATGAGCAGTGCTAGCAAGCTAGCATAGCGAAAGGGAGTTGTGCATACTGCTGAGAAGGTAACATTTAGTAGTGGCGTGTTCGCGAAATTAGCGCAGCGTAATTCGTTGACGTCAGGTATGCGTGTAACGCTGTAAGCTCACAATGCGCAATAGTAGCTCCGATTCGCAATCGCAAAACCAAGGGTTATCGGAGAGATAGAGTTCCTTCAGTGTGTCGCTCTCGTTGAGGTAGTTGCGTAGAAAGCCATCACTCAAGCGCTCCAGCCGATTGTGACGCACATCGAGCACTGATAGCTTCGATGGGATATGCGACGGCAGAATGAAGGCAAGCCGATTATGCGCCGCGTAAATATGTGTCACATTAGCATAACCGAAAGTCGTATTTGCCGGCAGCTCGTAAAAGTTATTGCGCTCAAGGTAAAGTGTTGTACGAGCCAGTGCAAATTGTTCGGGACGCGGTAACTGCGAAATGCTTTGCAGTTGCGCGCCTGTACAGTTGACAATCAGCGAAGACATCCTTTCGTACGAGCACCTGCAGCGTTCTGGACAAAAGGCGGGCGGCCAAGCGCAGAGATCACTGCGCTGCAGCTGATTGAGCAGTTTTCCCTGCAAGCGCGGCGGCGCTGCGCAGGTCCACTGTTCATATCGCGTAAGCAAGTTGCTGCTATAGACCCACGCAAGGCTACAGTCACAGTTCAGTGGATTGAACTGCAACATCAGTCGTCGTTTGCATCTGTGGGTACTGCCCAACGGCTGTATGGCAGCATAAATATTTTTTATGTTATTGTTGAGCAGATTGAGCTCGTAGGGACAAGTCAGCCCGCCAACGGCGATCCAGTCCAAGTTGAATTGCGCTATGCGATTTTTGCGCAGATTGATTGAAGTAAGATTGATTTGGCGCTCATTGAATGCGCCGCGCTCCCAGCTCACATACGTTGCGAATTGTGGCACTTCCAGCGGTGCGCTAATGTTAGTGCGCGTCAAGAGCGAGCGGTTGCTTAGGCTACCAGTGCCCCACAACTGCACGAGTTGATTGTTGCTCAGGTCGAGTTGGTGGAGATAACGTAGCGGCCGCACACTCTCTATAATATTCGTGGGCGTTTTGAAGCGGTTCTCGGCTAGCTGCAGCTTCCAAAGCAGTGGCGTGTTTTTGAATATGCCCAGCGGCAGTGATGTTAGCGAGTTCATGCTCAAGTCTATTACGACCAGCTTGCTTTGCGTTGCAAGCAAATTTGCAGGCAGCTGTTCTAAACCATTCAGGCTCAAGCCCAGTTGGTTCAATTCGCGCAATGGCATAAGCATAGTATCATTCAACGTCTGCAGGTTATTTGCGTCCAGCAGCAGGCTTCTTAGCGCCCATAGATCGCGAAAGTGTGCGCTGCTTAAGTTGCGTACGGTCGTGCGCCGTGCATCCAACGGTTCGTAATAACCAGTTTCAAGGTGGTATACATATAGAGACAGAACTTCCAAACCGTGGAGCTCATGTAACATCAGCTCGGGCACTGTGACCAATGTAGCATCGGAAACTATTATCAATTCCAAATTAATTAGCTCCTTTAGTTTGTGAAAAAGTAGCGGCGGAAAGCTATTTTCCAAGTCATCGGTTGTAATATTAAATCTCAGCGTCAGTAAGCCTTTTGCGTGCCAGAAAAACTCTTCAGGTACCAGCATTTGTGTATTGAACTCCACATCGCCCATGTAAGTCACATTGGGACGCCGCAACATTTTCGGTAGTTGTGCGCAGTTTCTCAGCTTAAAGGACGCCGAATGAAATGTGAACTTATGCGAAATCTGGTTCAAAAGGGAATCGGTATCTCTTGGCGAGCCCTCACAGGTCAGTGTTATCGTATCCTGTTCAGCGCTGCTTGCAATTTCAAATATCACTGCGCCGCTACGATCACTCAAATAGCAATTGGTCACTTTTTCTTTGCATTGACATTTGCCCTCGTAGCAGGTTTTGAATGCAGTCTGTGGGCCATTTGGTTTGACTTTCTGTTTCGTTAGCAACGGGTTCTTAGTGGTCGAGAAGATATTCGACTGGGCGAGCGCGTTCATTGTTAGGAGTAATAAGAACTGACAGGCAGCCAGATTTTGAGCTGAGGCGCAAAACATTCCAGGAGTTGTGGTCATAGTTTAAGGAGACCCTTTAGACCTTTAGTTTTAGTCCTTTAAGGCATCTTTTATCTGAAAAAAGTATATAGAAAATATGGTGGTTAGTTAGCATGTCAATTTACTCGTTTAAAGAGTATTCTTTAAAAGAGCTTGCAGCAAATAATCTCAATATCGAAATAATCTTCAATTGATCACCATGACGATGTTCTTGGCTGCCCCCAATGCATGGGAAAGATTGTTTTGACGAACTGACAGAAGTCGAAGCCTACCTTGAAGAATATGAATCAGAGACATTACGTTGTCTACTCGGACTGTCCCAACGAGAAATATACCTAAAATTCAGATGACTCTCTACGATCTGCAAAATATCAAAGCTCAAGTCTGGCAAGCCAAGAACGGAAATCCTTCCATGCTTGGTAAGAGGATGGTATCTCGCTCATAATAACAGCTACAGCTTTTTGGGACACCGATTCCTTGATGAACACGCCGCTAAAATAGTTCATCCATGCAATAGCCACTGCGGTAGCGTTAATCTCAAAAATAAAATAGAAGACATCTGCTCCTTATGCGAATGTCTAGTGTTAGCGTATGCCAGGTACACCACACATCGTAGCTAATCCTAAAGTAGTCCTCAGTTTAAGAAATTTGACGGGTAGTTCCGCTAAAAGCTTGAGAAACAAATTCAAGGATGCCATATAAACGGTAGGGTAATTTTAGGGACTTTCACAGAGGACCAAAGAATCTCTTAAAACAATAATAGGGAGTTATCAAAGAAAAAACAGTTGGAAAGGCATTTCTGAAAAAGGTCACAAAAACCACAGTCGCCGGGCGAAGAAACAGCGGGGAATTCCAGTGCGCAGAATCGGCTGACGTGCGAAAGTTTTCGCTACTATTTATAGGTCAAATTTTGAAACATATAAGAATTAAAAGCCTGTTATACATAGAGTGATGTTCTTTCCGCGATTCTCATAGATTTTCTTATTTCGATGCGATGACTGCTCAATATTGGCGGCCGGCAATAGCACTGTTAATCTACGTTTGAAAGTAATAGCCAAACTCTTCGATCTGTTTCGATTATTCGCTACAAGTACGCTTACCGTATTCCAATCAAATCACATAACCCTACCAGTAGCGTTGTGGTGTGATAGACCATTTTGAAAAATTTCATTAAACTTTTTTGGGTTCATCAACATTTTTAGACAAACTGTCTCATGACTTTTATGAGCTTCATGAGGAATTACTAGCCTCGTACCGGTGTAAAAAAACTGTTTTTTTTTGCTACATGTGCGATTTTCCTGGTTGTGGTCTGTCAGACCAAGATAAGGAAACCGGATTCCATACCTAACATAGACTTTTTCTTCCAATTTAGCTTCAATTTCCTTCATCATGTATATGCCCCGTCTGCCTCAAATCGGTCGGTTATCGTATAAAATATAAATCTCCTGTTTGTGATTCACATTCAAGCAAGATGTGTTACACATCTAAACTATGCAGCGCTCATGCGATCGCCGGGGACTAGCGGCCCTACGAGCCGCTAAGCGATGCCTGCTGGTGTTGCCACAGCACCACCTATGCACAGCTAAAATGCAGCGCGTCAGGGAGCACAAAACTATGCTATGAAATCAGTTCAGAAATCAGACATTTGGTGGAGTCAAACATGCAACTATCATAGTTCGGCTGTAGAGCGGCCTGCCGCTTAGTTAGACAAATCCGGTGCATATGAGGGGGCAGATGATTATGACCGGTAGATACCCAGAGAGTAGCCTATTGTGTCTCATGCGTTAAAAGTGAGCTGAAGCTCCTGCTTGATTTTCCAAATACACTCCTGAGTTTGAGCTCAATTCAAGCTTACATTTTATGTTTGAGGCGTGGTATCGTATACTTTTATCTTTTTTAGCGAAAGGATCCCCAAAGGTATGATCGCCCGATTGGCTATTTTTCCTTTGAAGTTGAATGGTCCTTATTCTTAAACAAGCAACAGCAGCTTCGAGAGGGCTGCAAATGTAAAATCGTATCTGGCGCTAGCCTTTTACTGTGAAACTCCGGGATTTTCCGGCTCTAGGAAATGCAGATCACAACTCCCAATCGAAAGCAGAACAGAACAGGTGCGTGTGTTTATGGACCCTAGTACAACGAACAGATGGCTCATAGACGAAGACGAAGTTCATGGTTCAATATCAAACTGAATGAATGGTTTCCTTTCCCTTAAAGACTTATCAACATTACAAATATTTCCAATTCACCGAGCCTCTTTATTTATAATATATTTGACTTAATTTAAATATAAAAGTGATTCGTTCGTTTTGGCGTATATTTTGTGCGCAAAGTTCCAATATTTTCACTTCTCCTCTCTTTCGCTTTTCAACTGGTTCAATTCCACTTGGCCACTCACGTAGATTCTACCGCTCACCTCAAGCATGCCCGCCTTCCGCCCTTCACCTCTTTTATGCGGCATTGCGTAACGCAACTTTTGCCAAAATCGTGGATCCTCAGAATCCAGATATGTATTCATACGCAAATAAGCCTCCAACTCACTATCGAGCCCAGCCATATTTGTAATCTCGCCATACTTGATTATTATAATGCGCGCACGCTTCTCATTAACGGCGCATTGATGTGCCGTTTTGAATTCCATGCGACCCCAATCGGATTCGACGAAGTGCTGCGATAGCACAATGATCGTGCGCCGCGACTGCGCCACAGACTCCACAATCTGCTCCGGTATATAGGCGCCGGCAAGCCAATTGCGTTCGTGCGTACAAATTCGAAATGGTGGATCACCGGGCTCCAGTTGTGGCAGCAGCGTGTTGTTCACGTAGCATTTGTCCTTGTGCGAATATGAGATGAAGGCATCGAACGTTTTATCGTTGTCTAGATCGTCGACGCTGAAGCAAACGGGAGTCAAATTGTGTGCGTGCAGCCAGATTTTGACTTCCAGCTCGTATTTGTAGTAGAGCGTAACAAGACTGAGTAGCAGCAGAATTGTGAGAAAGATGGCAATGAGTCGCGTCATCAAACCCAAACTGCTGGTGGGCAGCACGCATACGTCGGTGAATGTCACATTCAAGAGGGTTACGTTGGGAAAATTGGCGCAATACAAATCGCCAGCGTCGGGTATGCGTGCGCTCTGTGCGCGTAGTGTATATAATAGCAGTTCAGTTTCGCAATCGCACAACCAAGGGTTTTCGGAGAGA